CTTTCTCGTTCATTCGGCTCTGTGGATTACTTGCCAATACTTACAACTTATCAATGCTTACAATATCCAGCTACGGCTCTTGATAATCAGTTAGCTACTGCCTAATAAAAGCCGTGGCATGGGGGGCCGGAAATACATATGACTGTGATGATGGGGCAGATTCTGATTGATTAACATGGAATGCAGGTGCTTGCATCGTAATTTCCTACCGTATGAGCAGCAAGATTATCCTTTTCAATTGATCTACCCGCATGTGTGCGGTGCGTGCGCGTGTCAACGTAAACATGATAGATATCTGCTCTTGATATTATATTAATGCCGGAGTCAACGTAATATCGCAGGTCGTTGTACGAAGGGGGTATATTTATGCCAATTTATTTCTTTAATGTTAATTTGCATGCAAACCGAACCGTACGTCAAAAGAAAGAAGCTATAAGAGAGAAAAGGCAGGAATGTCGTTGTACACGCACAGATACGTCATTAGAGAGATTGCTGAGGTTGTTACATGCTTGCATGAACACACGAGATGAATGTGTCTCACGGAGCTGTTCTTTTTTTGCAAAACAACAAGTGGTAGTCGAAACCAGTATATACGCAGATCACGGGGCAATCTTCACCGTAAAAAATAACACGTTACAAAAAACAACTCCCTAACGTCCGTATCCACGACTCCCATACTTCTATAGAGGTGTTCCTGATGCAAAATAACAGCGAGTAACCCACAGATGGTATAAGGCGGATCGTCGGCAACCTATACTTCGACGTTACCAAAAAAAAAAACTTTTGTATTGCGGTTTAAGAAGCCTGACTCCTCTAACTCTACCACCCCACCTACCCTCCCCCTCCCCCGTGTACGCCGTCCGGTTGTCATAAACAACAAACAGGCCAGGATAGTTTATTTCACGTGATATCAGTTTGTAAGGGCCAAGCGCGCCCAGCCCTTTTGTACTTAATTATCCAAGTTACTTAGTCGGTAAGAGAATGAAGGGATTGGTTCATCGAAACCTGCTGTGTTTTGAAGCAGAGCGTTTTTCTGCCTAGAGCAGCGAAGGAGAGAAGGAAAAAACAAAGAAAGCGAGAGAGAGAGAGAGAGAGAGGAAGGGAGAGATGCTCATAATGATGGTATAGCAACCACGGCGGGGGGGGGGGGGGGTGCAGCAGCTGTTCAAGACAGATGGTAGCATGCAGGGAATCTTCAGAGAGAAGCTAGCGTCTTCTCACGAGGTTTTTGTTTCTAACTAGCCACAGGTTGCCGGCGCGTCGGGAATCGTGCCTGCGCGTGTTCTCTCTCTCTCTCTCTCTCTCTCTCTCTCTCTCTCTCTCTCTTTCTCTCTCTCTCTCTCTCT